TTCTTAATATGTTGGAGCGCCTTCAATTTCTTATGATACTGTGCAATACCTCTGGTGTGAAATAGTTGCTTCAGACGCCGTGGCACGCTGCGGCGCGGCGGCGGGCGGGCAGGCAGCGCTGAACGCGCATTGGCGCCTACAAACCTAACAGGGATACTTCACGCATTGCGCAATGCGTGGAGTATCCCTGTTAGGTTTGTGGGCGCCAGTGCGTCGCCGCGCAATGCAACTATTCGGGCTTTATGGTTGTCCTTGTTGCATACGCACGAAAGTGAAGGCGTTTTGACAGTCCAGGCACTCGTTACTTCACCCTCGGCGCAGTGCTGACGCCAGGCCTTATTTCTGCAAGGCCGAGGATTCAAAATCACAGAGATTTCAATGCTTCGTCCATACTTCAAAAATATCTCCCAGGCACGCCCTGGTAAAAATTGGCGATACGAGCTGCGTTTCAAAATACCATAGGAGTTCAAGTATACAGTCGGGCTATAGTTCCTATCGCCGGGCTTTACACTTTATCGCCATTGGCTATAAAAGGATGTAAGAAATTGTGTAGAAATTCGTGTGCTTTGGAAATCATTAAGTTTGATACGGAACTACCTTAATATTTACAAAACACACATTATATTTTACTTTAAAACATTGTTTTTTCATCAATTAAAATGAGATGGTCCATACAGAACGTGCAAACCTTTCAAAATCATGAGTTGAAAAACGCTGACTCCGCGAGATTAAATACTAGAGCCTTAAACAAAGCGGAGCGGTGACGCATTGGCGCCTACAAACCTAACAGGGATACTTCACGCATTGCGCAATGCGTGGAGTATCCCTGTTAGGTTTGTGGGCGCCAGTGCGTCGCCGCGCAATGCGTGAAGTATCCCTGTTAGGTTTGTAGGCGCCAATGCGTCACCGCTCCGCTTTGTTTAAGGCTCTAGTATTTAATCTCGCGGAGTCAGCGTTTTTCAACTCATGATTTTGAAAGGTTTGCACGTTCTGTATGGACCATCTCATTTTAATTGATGAAAAAACAATGTTTTAAAGTAAAATATAATGTGTGTTTTGTAAATATTAAGGTAGTTCCGTATCAAACTTAATGATTTCCAAAGCACACGAATTTCTACACAATTTCTTACATCCTTTTATAGCCAATGGCGATAAAGTGTAAAGCCCGGCGATAGGAACTATAGCCCGACTGTATACTTGAACTCCTATGGTATTTTGAAACGCAGCTCGTATCGCCAATTTTTACCAGGGCGTGCCTGGGAGATATTTTTGAAGTATGGACGAAGCATTGAAATCTCTGTGATTTTGAATCCTCGGCCTTGCAGAAATAAGGCCTGGCGTCAGCACTGCGCCGAGGGTGAAGTAACGAGTGCCTGGACTGTCAAAACGCCTTCACTTTCGTGCGTATGCAACAAGGACAACCATAAAGCCCGAATAGTTGCATCCACGAGATAAAATGTTATTTGTATACTGTCGCCGTCCTAAAATGTGGTCTGCGGCCCCTACCTTTTCAGACCGAAGAACGTCGAATACGGAAAAGTCGTAACGTGAGGCCCGAATCGAATGAATTGTGGCAAATCCTCAGACGCATCGCTACACTCGAATTTTTTTTTTTTTTTTTTTAAGAATCGGTCGGATAGATTTCCAGATCTCGCTGGCAGACGCAATTGCTTCCTTTTTTAGATGGCAGGGGGTAGGGGTACGTCCCCTTACCGCTTCGCGGTTCAATCCTCCGGAGCGATTCACGCCTCAGACGTTATGCGTCACTTTTATGATTTTACATTATAGAATAGAGAGTATGATACCTACAGTTGGTGTAAATCGGTCGGAGAGGAATTAGGAGAGTAGAACCAGAGGTTAATGACATCTCTTGACATGCGGGTGGAAATTGGTCAGTGAATCACTGCGTATTGACAAATACCGGGGTCGATTGTCCCGTCTGAGCCCACGGGACTAAAAGGCATCCTGTCAGAATTGGTTCGGGGTTTTTTTAGAATTCGGCTCAAACTATCTTACGAAGTGCATGCAAAAACATGGTCAGGGATTGAATTATTAAATGGTGTTTTTAATTTATTTATTTTTATTGATAATACAATTTTTTTCAGTGATTTTGTTTGAAATATACCGCATAGCATAACTCTCGAGAGCTAAGAAGTTACATATTTAAGTTTTGAAAAAGCACACCCACGACTTAATTTTCATCTCGCGGAATGCTTATGAACGACGAAGAAAGCCGTGATAAAAATAGCTGCTAAGATATCAATGAAACGCTCGTTAAATCGTGAGAAAAGCTGTCAAGCGACTATATTACACTGTTATCCAGTGCATTTCTGATGATTGGTCACTCCAAGTTAATGGGTCACGTTATCAAAGTGATTGATTCCTAAAAAAACAAAACACTGATACTGATGGCCAGGAAAAAGCTTGGCGAATAGATAAACGCACTAATTTCTAGATAGGATTGACTGCATAAGGATCAGAAATTTTAAAGTTCTAACGGTACGCAGCTGCATTTGAGATTGATGTCAGACGATCAGACGTTACGACGACGACGCGACGTCCGTCATTCGAGAAGTATAGTCACTGTTTGACAGTTCTAATTTAAACAACTTCATGATGTTTACGGCGGAATTCGAAAGTTTCTGATCCCCTGATTAGAAAAATAGAACTGTCGAAGCACGGAAAGAGGAACTTTTACCCACGGAGAAAACATTTTTTAACAAGCAATTTTGGTCGAGTGGGTCAAAAAATCGAATTTTGTGATCTATGCGGAAAACTCTCTATGGACTCCTAAAAAGTGTATTAATGCGAGTTTTCCAGTTCATTTTTGTGCCAATTTTGTTTTAAGTTGCATCATAATCCGGCAATTGCGTGTCCTGAACATGACAATACTTAACTTAGGAATGCGGATTTTCTGGAAAAAGGCATTTTTAAAAAAATCGATTTTGGTCGAAAATCGATAAAAGCCGACTCGATTGAAGTCTAAAAATATATTTTTTTGAAAATTCCTTTTTCCCGGAAAATCCGCATTATTCCGCATACTCTCTCCTCTTGAGGCTTCAAATTCAACGATTGAATATTTTGAAGAAAAAAAATATAACTTAGGTACAGAAACAGCCAAAAAAGTCCAAAAACTGCATAGATTCAAGGAAAAAATCGATTCAGCAATTATATGCATTTTTCAGGATTCCCTCGATTTTGTCAATTTTTCTGGTTGAATCAATAAAAAATCCGCAACCCTAAGTAGGTAAGTATGGCAAATTACAATTTATTGAAAGTAAGTGAATGAGAGCGCTGGAAGATCTACCATTTTTATTTTTGCACTACCTACTTAGAAGTTTACATAAAAATCTAGATAGATTTTTTTTTTTTTGGTTTGATTATCCATCATACATCACCAACAGATGGCAAACATATGAAGCAAAAACTTTGCCATTATATTATGTACTTCAAAATTCCAAGTCTACTGAATCAGTCAGTGCAATATCTGAAATCGCACACATACTAATATCATTCACCTAGATGCAAGCAGCATCGCCATTTCTCCTGCATACTGAAACTTTAATCGCGACAATTTTTACCACTGGATAAAGTATTAAAATATCCAACTATCAACTTACACCGAAACTCGGTATCAGAGAAAGACTAGGTATAGAAAGTGTTGGCGCTAAGATCCTTGAGCTTTTTTTTGACAAACAGCAGACACCAAATGGGAAACATTTACGATATAATCTACTGAATTGATGCCAGTGATGCATTTTGGAGACAACATAAATACAATTAACGTATATATGCACTTCAAATAGACGGAGTAATTTGCTTGTTGCAGATAAGGCAGTGACCCTTGCTCCTGTGCATTAAGATAAGTGAGAAGTTGCGTTAGAGAAAACAAATATATGCAAAATCACTGAAAAAGGCAAGACACACTGTCAGTAAAGCCCTAAATACATAAAAAACAGTCTTGCTTCCCCTTAAAATTAATTTTTCACAAGCTTAAATTTTTTGCAAAATGCTGTCAAAAGCTAATTACTTACTGGGAGAGGAGAATGGTAAAAAAATAAACTACAAATCGATGGAGGACACCTAGGGCCAACCTACTCGTTACAATAAGAGCTCAGAATAAATCACCACACCAATAAATAAAACGTGCAATCTTGCCAGTGCAAAAAGTATTCTTAAAAAGGCTTCAAATCGAGTCCTGATATTTAAAAAATATAATGCAAACTGTGTCTATTTTCCTTCTGATCACAGTATATCCTCGTCAGGAGTAGACTGGCACCAAGAATACCAGCCGATCAGAGCTTAGATTGGTCCATCATAGTTAATATTAGCCGTTTGAACGGGCTGGCTGGCCCGACATCACCCTGAATATCAATGAGCTGACCAAGATTTTACCTTCAGTTCTCGCCTGCCTGTCTGCCCCTAACACTCATCTTGTTTGAGACATCGATAAAAGTAGAAACTAGAGAGTCACCACTTCAAACTCGTGTCATGACTTGTCATCGACTGACGTAGCAGTTTAAGTATACCTCAAAATTCATACGGCTCAAAAAGTTGTTGGCGAACCGATTGGTATATTATTGACTCTCTGTGAGGATTGGAATAAGTAAGTAGGGATCTAGATCAAAAAGTCAACAGTGGTTTTCTTCAGTGTGTACCTACTTGACTGTAGCAAATGAACTGAGGATGCTGATATTCATTTAGTTTTATTACGAATGAGAACATCGAGATTGGAAATGAGTACCTCGAGGAAACTACGCGAAATTTTGGATACTGCGCCATTACCTGGCGTCTTGCAACCATAAATATTTACAAGTGAGTACAGAACTGATAAGGGATGTTTACTTGCAGCACGAAGCAACGTGTTATCATGACAGTTGAGCGATCGTGAGGATTAGTGAGTGACGTGTGACGAGGAAATGGAATTTAGGTAGGAAAACTAACTGGGAATTAATTGCACGACTCAGTCGTGTTAAGAAATTAGATAAATTCTGAATTACCTTAGAAATCAAGTCACAGTCTTGTGCACAACATGAATTAATCCAATGGGCGAGCACAGCGAAATTTTCACACTGAAACGACCCAAACACAGTATTCACGACCGGTCAAAACCTCTCGCTACTGATCACTTGAGAGGTAAGAAACATTTACTGGTCACTACGGCATTTAACGGACACGGATCTGGAGCTGTCAAAGAGCGGAGAAAACTCGGACTGAACCGGGCGGTGAAGTCGACAGCGACGTGGTCCAGAAGAGAAACTGAACTGAAAAGTACGGTGGAACACAGAACCTGCTTCCGAAAGCACACCATCAGCAAACACGCAGTTCAGTGGTATGCAGAGTTGCCGGATGTCAATCAAATATATCAAATATTACATCAAAATAATTATTTTAAATAATGTAGTTAGTTTCTGATTTGGCAACCGTGTGTCACTACAGCTGTCTGTATTCAGCGTTGTCGCTTAGGGCTTTTGTATGTGTATGTTTTTAAAATTAGTATGTAACAGTACTAACATGCCATGCATTCCGCGGGTTTTCGGAAATATACGTTGCTCGAAAATATTTTTTATTTTTTTTCCCCACACAACACACCTCTTTTTTTCTTAATCTAATTATTTCTCTGCCATTTTGAATCCTCGCAGTAAAGCCCGCCTTTTGGCGGCGCTCCGCGGGTGAAGCGGTGAGATCAGCCAGTCAAAACGCCTTCACTTTTGTGCGTATGCAACACGGACATCCATTGAGCCCGAATAGTTGCATCCAGGAGTTAACGTGATTCGTCAAGCTCAAAAGAAGTGGTCGAACTGGCATGCGATATATCGCATCTTTTAGGTCAAAAATCTCGGCAGATTTTGAATTTTCAGTAAAGAAAAGGACGATAGCCCCTGCGCATGAGCCTAAAGAATCATTCTAAACCTTAAAATCGGCAAAATTCAGAGAAATGAAAGCAGGATAGTGTTTGGAAAAAAACCTCGCATTCGATTCAGCTATCGATTTAGGTATCGAATGCGAGGTTTTTTTCCAAACACTATCCTGTTTTCATTTCTCTGAATTTTGCCGATTTTTGGGTTTAGAATGATTCCTCAGGCTCATGCGCAGGGGCTATCGTCCTTTTTTTTGCTGAAAATTCAAAATCTGCCGAGATTTTTTACCTAAAAGATGCGATGTATCGCATGCCAGTTCGACCACGTCACTTGAGCTTGACGAATCACCTTAAAATAAAGTGTTGTAGTCTTCGCCGCTTTCGTGAGGGCTCTCTGCATGTTTCTCGCATATCGTGAATATTAATTATTCCAGCAATCCCTACTGTGCCGACAAAGTAAATTATTCCCGATTTCAATCGCGACCAAGTCAATTTTCCGTATGATGCTATGATTGTTCTTGATCAAATTAATATGTAACGACGATGCCGTAAACTAAAATGTGAGCTACCGCCCCTAACACCGTCACTGATCTGAGAACTACGAATATGGCAATGTCGTTTCATGGCAACTTCCGGCAAAATTAGAGCGTGCATCTCAACGTATTTGTATTTTTTCTCGCTGAAGAATTAGAAAAAGTCCTGTTAGAGATGTAGATCAACCTACGGTTAATTGGACTACATTTTGCAATTTGGAACTATAGATTCTAGCCCGGTTTAAAAATAACGTTTGTGCCATTAGTTTCCCTATGCACATAAGTGTTTTTTTCAGATGAGCCAGAATTTATAGCTCCAAATTGCAAAATGCAGTTCAATTGAGAGTCCGGCGAGGGAAGGCCCGAAGCTTGTAGAAAATTTTTTTTTTTCCAAGTTTGTTTCTATGATGGAGATTTGTGTTTTCAGACAACTCTGACAAACATAATAACTAACTTCCCTGAAATATAGGATTAGTCGAAAATGTGATGCAGTATTTATTGAAACCGCAAGTGGATTTCATAAGGCCTCGGACCCCCAAATACGTCAATTCAAAGGTCATTCAATTTTCCCGCGAAATAAGCCAATTTCCCTGGATTTGCCTCCACAATATCGCAGTAAGGTCAAAATCAGTTCATAACATTACGTTGAATAGCCCCCAAATTTCGGGAAAAGTTAAAAAAAAAAAAAAAAAAAAAAAAAAAAAA